GTGTAGGGATTGGGGAGGAAGAACGTGAAATATGGAAAGAAATATCGATAGGCTGAAATGCCTGGCGCAGGGCAGTTAATCATAAGGCCGCTCCAAAGAGAAAAGACCGAGGGAGAATGTTGAGGAGGAAGATCTTGAGGAGGCAGAAGACGTACGTTTGGTGGAGGAGACAGACACGGACAAAGAAGGTGCGAGGAAGGGGAAGAGCGAGAGGAGGAAGTGTGTTAGGTGAAATGCATTTTTCTCTATCCTGCTTTCCCTCTCTCCTTCTTGCGCGTGTGCAATCGTGTTGAGATCTTAAAAGAAATGGAACGATCTTGATAACAAATGGAGCCTTTATGTCCACCGGATAAAGAAAAAGAAGCACTTCTCTTAGGTCGGGCGATACGAAGGAAGGGCGGCCGGTCGAGGGAGGAAGGGGAGGTAGGGAGTAGGACGGAGGGAGGAATGGAAGGAGGAGGTCAGGTGGCGATCGGGCTGAGGAAGGAAGGGGAGGAAGGAGATCGGGGGAAGGAGGAGGTCAGACAGAGATCGGGCGAATGAAGGGGGGGAACGAAGGGGAATGAGGCGGCCAAGCTGAAGGAGGCCAGAGGGAGGTTGAAGAGAAGGTGAGGAGGAGGCCTGTAGGCAGGGGAAAGGCGGCAGAGAGTAGGGCGGAAGCAGGAGGTCAGTGGAGATCGGGCCGAGGAAGGAAGAGGAGGAAGGAGATTGGGGGAAGGAGGAGGTCAGTGCAAATCGGGCGGAGGAAGGAGGACGATGGAGGAGATAGAGCGAAGGAGGTCAGGTGGAGATTGGGCGAAGGAAGGGGAGTGAGATGGCCAGGCGGAGGGAGGGCAGAGGGAGGTTTTAAGAGAAGGTCCAGAGGAGGCCAGAAGAAAAGGGAGGCGGCAGGGAGAAGTAGGGCGGAGGGAGGACAAAGACGTATGAAGGGAAGGGGTAAGGTGGAGACGAACATGGGAAAAAGCATGAAGAGGAAGAGGAGGAGGTGGAAGGAGGCCGGGAAGTCGGGCGTAGGGAGGGCAGAGGTTGGGTGGGGTACGGAGCAAGGGAAGAGGTCAGGCGAAGGGGGAGAGAGAGAGAGAGAGAGAGAGAGAGAGAGAATCACACACAAATGGATTGCTGGGAGAAGGAGATTGAAGAGGGGCGCGTGAGAATTGGGGAAGGGAGGGGAGAGAAGGGCAGCAGAAGCCACAGTAGGACGGGGGGAAAGAATTTGAAGAGGCGCAGAGGGATAGCGCGGGTGGAGTTGGAGGAAGAGGAGGAGGGGGCGCATGGAACGACGTCATGGGAGGGAAGGGAGAGTTGAGGGGTAAGGGGAGAGCGGGAGGGATAGCGGTACATGTCATGGATGGGGGAAAGATGAGGGGACGGGGAAGGGGGCAGGGCTAAGGTGGAGTGTGGTGGAAGGCCCGAAATCGCGCCGCGTGGCCACGAGGAGCGAATTTTTGTCTATTTCTTTTTTTTTCCCCTTATGTGTCCTTTTGTGTGTGTGTGTCTGTGTGTGTGTGTGTGTGTGTGAGAGAGAGAGAGAGAGAGAGACGGGGAAAGGGAGAAGGCTTACGGGAAGTCGGCGGCGGGGGCGGTAGGGTAAAGGTGCGCCTTTTGCGTCTCATCTTTTTCCGTGTGAGGGAGTGATAGGGACGGGGAAGGGAGGACGGTTACGGGAAAGTCAGCAGTGGGACGCGAGAGAGAGAGAGAGAGAGAGAGAGAGAGAGAGAGAGAGAGAGAGAGAGAGAGAGAG